CGCCTTTTGTGGTAGATATTATACTATTCCCTCTCTCTTTTAAATCATTTTATTGTGGCTCGTACAACTCTGATCACAATTCATATATGCATCCATTGTGTCAAGCACATTTGTACATGTGTTGCCCTCATCATTCTCAAAACCTTTGCTTTCTACTTGAGCCCTTTATATCAGCTCCTCGTGTTTCCCCTTCCTCCCTGCCCCCCTCCCTCTCTTTTAATTTACCACCTCCAGATAATGATTCTACTAACTACAGTTGCCCCCAATGATCACTACTGTAGTTTATACCTGTTAGTATCATTTCTGGGCCTAAATGATACGTTTCAGAAGAGACATACTTTCTGGGAATTTTATAGGACCTGGTTTAGGATTCACAAAAAAAGGTGCTCAGAAGTGGGTGCTGCTAATTCATCGCTGCTCAGGGATTATGAGTTTTTCTTAGTGTAGCCCACTGCCCTGTATACTGATCTTAGCATGAATTGACAGTGGAGACTACAGATTCTCACAATTCACAGAGCAAACCAAGGAGTCTTTCCAACGTACTGCTATTTGTATAGTCTTTTGCAGTTTATACACTTTATCTATGTGAATCGTCTCATGTAATCTTCATTATAACTCTGTGAGGTAAATGGCATCATCCTTATTTTACAGATGACATGGAGGTATCAAAACCTTAAATGAGTCTGGTCACCTCGCTAGATTGTGGTGACATCCACACTTGACTGCAATTACAGCTTCTTTTCTAATGCCCTTTTTTCTTCTCTAATGCAGAACCTGCCCTTGATTATACTTGATTAACCTGCTGGCGGCCTTTGTCCTTGTGTGTTATAGTTGTGTCATAGCTGTTTCCCTGGGGAAGGAAAAGAATATTCAGCAGCTGCTACTTAGAAAGGGTAAAAAAGAGGTTAGATTGATTTTAATATAATTAATTGAATTAATATAAAATTTCAGTTAGATCTAGTAGTGGGATTTGTATACTAATGGCATGATAAGTTAAATATTAAGCTGACTGACTGGTGTGCTTGGGTGTTAGCTAGTTATACCCACATCTACTCTTCTCTGGATCTAGATAACTAGACTTGTAATGTGCAGGCCAGAAAAGGCCAGACTTAAGTCAAGTATGGAAATGTCCCTCCCCCAAAGTGGTCTGGGCACAAGACCCTAGGGCCTCTGCCCCTTGCAGGTTCTGTTGGATTACACAGGCCTAACACTTGGCAAGCTTTTACATTTTTGTTTCATGTTCTTAAAATCCTTGGAAGCTTGAGTGGGTGTTCAGACCAAAAAGCTGCTTCCTGTAGTGTTTATGTAAAGGATCGTTTTTAGAGAGTTATGTGAACTGGAATTGGGTCTGACGTCAATTCTCAGTGTGCTCTCTCCCCCCTGGAGAAATAGCCCATATGTAAAGACAGATGTGAGACTCAAGTTCTTTTACGTATAAATAATGCTGGGAGAAAATGAGATCACTGCTGGCAGTTAGAGGTTGGAGAAGAACAGGGTTCAGTGTAAGTCAGAGAAAATCAAGTGTGCTTTTAAAAACCTCCATTGTGTATGTGGATTCATAAGCCTAAATAAGCATAAAATATAAATGTGCAAGAAATTAATAATAATATAACAAATAAGTTCTCATTTATCGATTATTCTTGTATTGTGTTTAAATAGTTTTGTAACCTACAATCTTTAAAGCTTTATAGTTTCATGTTTTACATTTAAGTCTATAAGCTTTATGAAGTTGAGTTTAGGTGTGGAGTGAGGTCGAGGTCCATTTCCCATTATGGATACCCGTTGGCCCTAGAACCAGCCTAATCCTTTCTCCACACTCCAAGGTATCGCTTCTTTGATAATTGAGGATCCCTATGTGTGTGTGAATCTATTCTTTTTCATTAGTCTGTTGATCTCTTCCTACACTGATGCCTCACTATTTTAATTACTATAATTTTATAGTAAGTGAACCTCCTGTCTTAGTTTTTTTTTCAAAAATGCTTTGGCTGATTTTGTTCTTCTGAACTTCCATATTTCGGAAAACTGATTCATCAAGTCTCAACAAACAAACAAACAAAAAACAGTCTGCTGGGATTTGGACTGAGATAACATTTAATCTATCAATCGCTTTGGAGATTTGACATCTTTATGATCTTGATTCTTTCACATAAGAATAAGGTATATCGATATTTGTTTAGATCTAATTTGCTGTTTCTCAATAAAAAATGTTTTTGAGATAAATGTATAACATAAAATTACCATGTAAATCCTTTTAAAGGGCATTACTTACTGGCTTTTAGAACATTTAAGTGTTGTGCTATTATCACCGCCAAAGCAGCTTCCAAAGGAAATGACATCTGAGAAGTAGAGTAAGTCATGAGCGTGCTGGCAGTGGACCCAGAGCAGAGTAATAGTGAGCATACTGAGTGTGCGTGGCTTTCATAAGGCAATTTCACTGAAAAAGAAGGAGGAGGAGGCAGAGGAAGAAAGGAAGGAGTAAATACAAAGTCACCATATACCAAAATGAATCGATCGACCTTCCACCACTCACAGATGTAGCATAGGATAAAGAACTGAAGGTATTGAAGGAAGAAGTTCAAGATGCACTGAAGACATTGGTGAAAACAAGGCTCCAGGAATTGATACAATACTAATCGAGATATTTCAACAAATGGTTACAACATTCACTCCTCTATTCCAAGAAATCTGAGGGACAACTACCTGGCCAACCAAATGGAACAGATCCATATCTGTGTAGACTCCAGAGAAAGGTGATCCAATAGAATCTAGAAATTATCCAACAATATAAGTAATATTACATACAAGTAAAATTTTGCTGAAGATAATGAAAAACCAGTTGCCGTAGTACATCAATAGGGACTGCCAGAATTTCAGCCAATTGAGAAGAGGATGTGTCATGATGGATCTTGGCTGAATCCCATCCCCAAAAGCTTCCAACCTTTTACCATCAAACGTAAGTTTTTTGTATTGTTTTGTACTACGTTCCTCAGAGAGCTCAGAGTTTCTTGGCATCAATCTTCCCCTAGGTCTAGGAGCTTCTCAGTGCTGGATCCAGGTCCACGCGATGAACTCCACTCCCATTCCTCTCTCTTGGAGGTGGTGGTTCCCTCTGATCTCTGCTTGCATCTCTTTTGTATGTGTTGTAAGATAAGAGGTGCTGCAGGCCACACCCCGGGAAACTCTTCGCTCAGAACTCACTGGCTCAGGACTGTGAGAGAACCAGAAAAGTTGCAGCCCACCCTAACTCGCTTATAACTGATTGGTTGATATCACATATGGTCACGTCATTGGGCATCATTCCCTAACTGTCACATTGCATGATTACATAAATACCAAACCAGAGAATCGTAGTATCGCCGATATTTGAGTGGGTGAGGCACAAGTCAATCTATGACAGTGTCTTTTTTTTTTCAATGTTTAAACTTTTTAAAAAAATTAAAAAGCCTTTTAAAAAATACCCTTGTGACTGTTAACTATTCTGATGGCTGTGAGAAGAGGAGACTGTGGATACAGTTGTTGTTTTTCATCATTTACTGGGGTTTTTACAGCTCTTACAACTTCCTGTCTATCCGTTGTATCAAGCATATTTGTACATATGTTGCCATCATCATTTTCTGAGCATTTACTTTCTATTTGAGCCCTTGGTATCATCTCCTCTTTTTTCCCTCCCCCACCACATGTGTGAATACAGTTTGAAATGAACTAAACAGCAGAAGGAGCCTGCATATTTTGTTTATTTGTTTATTTTAATTAATCATTTTATTGGGAGCTCTTACAGATATTATAACAATCCATAATTAAGTTAGATCAAGTTTAATTTTACAATTTCTACCACCATCAGTTTCAAAACTTTGTTTATTCTTGAACTCTTTGATATCTGCTCCCCTTTACCCCCTCCCTCCCTCACCCTACCCCCAGAAACCTTTATTACTATATTATATATTATTGTTATTATTTGCTGTATTGTACGCCATCCAGTGTATAATAGGTTCACCTACAATTCTGTTATTAATTTCCTTTGAGTGGGGTTATACAGTCATCATTGCAATCAGCACCCCCCCCCTCTTCCTGTACTCTCAGGGAATCATTACTCCTGCTACTGTTTCTGAAGGGTTATCTATCTTGGATTTCATGCATCAAATGCTCTTAATTACATAAATGAACATCTGTAAGTCTAACAAGATTAATGAGGTAAAAAAGACCATAATAGTCAGGGAAGGAAATATTAAAGAACTAGAGGAAATATTCTGACAGCAGAAGGAGCCACATGTTTTATAGCATGTTCTATTGAATTGATGCATCTTGTAAGGCACAGGGTGCCAGTATGCTTTATGTGAGATGCATAATTACTCTCTTAGGAGAGCCCATGACTAAGTGACAATAGTTTTGGTAGTACTTATAATTTTCACAATGTTCTTCTCCCCTGCAGTTCTGATATCATTAAAAAGACAAAAAACAAACAACAAAAACTTGCAGAGATAGTTCTGATGTCTCAAATCTGTTAAATCTCTGGAGATGATATGCACAGTATCTGTACCACCTATAAAGTATAGCATAACCTCATGTAGCTGTGTCAGGGAGTTCAGGGCTTCCTTACATGTTAGCATTTATATTTAGTCATGACCTTTCAATTTCTGTAATAAGAGGGAACAGATTAAAGGGAACAATGGTAAGCAGAAAGTGAGAGGTTTACTTGAGGTGGGCTGTGGATGGCCTTATGGTAGCTTCAGAATCATCTATGGGGCAAGAAAGACCTATTCACCCAAATTAGAGTCATACTACTCAGAACTTATATATATGTTTGAGTGGACAAGCCCATGTCCCCCAAGCCCCTATCTCACTCGAAGGAAGAGTGCACGGGTAACATTACGATATGTCTTCTAAAGACTTGGATGTTTCGTGGGACCCTGTGGGAATTCCTCGGACAGCAATTGATGTTCTGTATCCTGAAAGGGACCTTTGTAATTACTAATGAAGAGTTGGCCTTTTTTCCTTTGCAGATCGACATCAATAAATGCCATTATTTAGTAGATTTGGATACTTCGAGAGAAACACCCCGGGAACCAAATTATTCATCTAATCGAGAAAAATGGATCAGTCTGGCCTCCAGACCATTCCTTGATGCTTCTAGGTATGTTGTATTGATGCTAAAGGGGGTAGTGGGTGGGACTGGTAGGGTAAAAATTGGATTCTAGGGTTGAATAACTTCCAGCCCTTGGCTGACTCTGCTAGCCTTTGTTATTGTATTTGGCCCTAAACACTCTTCTAATCTTGCCTTGTTTCTGAGGAATCCAAGAGTTCTCTTTTTCTAGGCACCAGGATGTAGTGCATATTCTGGCTTCCAAATGAACAGTCTACTGAAGAAAACTCAGACTAGCGTTTGACATCAATTTACTAATTTGGGCTAGTAAATTCCAGTTATCTTAATCAAGAGTGCTGTAGTACTGTTGGAAAGATTGACTGGAGGTTCATGTCCATTTTTTTCAGGCTTCGGTTCAGTCAGGGCTGAGACAGATTTGAAAGGTTAAGTAGAGAGATCAAATAGGTTTGACTGTCTCTTCAGAAAACTTTCGTGGGTTAATAATGAGGGTAGTCAGGCGATTCAAGTGGAAAAGCCATGGAGAGACGGTATTTGAAAGCCTGGGTTGTTTGTGTTAGGGAGTGAGCAGATATCCAGTCAACAGAAGGAAAGCTGTGAGGCCCAGGGAAGCCTGGTGGACAGTGTCCAGGATGAAAAAAGGTCCGGCAGGAAGCATCAGGAAGAGGACGAGGTCCTGAGACGAAAATCTGGGACTCAGAAATAGGGACTGGGGCCCTAAGGCTCAGCGCCAGGAAAGCTGGATAATGTCACGGTGCCGGGTTAGAGTGTCAGGAACTGGATGCCCAAAAGTAGGAGGAGGTGGAAAGGGTATCTAGTTAATGGAATTGAGGTAGAAGACTGGTTCTTCGTTTGAGAAGAACAAATTTCCAGTTACTAGACGTGGGTTCAGTCAAAGCAAGCTTAGCAAGAAAGCTGAGATGCTGACCTAGACACCAAGTTGGTCTCGAAAGGGAGGCTGGAGTGTGATTTGGATCGCTGCAAGAGTTGAGCAGATCACTGTGCTTTTAGACGAAGTCTCTTCAGTGAGTGTCTAGTAAATGATGGTTGGGAAGGATTGGGGCGAGGAAAGGAATAGAGGTTGATGGAGATCTAGAGTGATTCTCAAGGATGGAACTTTCGCCCATACCATCACTCCCAAAGTCATTTCCTCAAAGGTCTGATACAGAATTTCTATGAGAGCTATCTCCATGTAATGGGGAATAGTCCTGCTTTTCAGCATGTATTTTTTGAGAGCCTTTGATGTGCCAGACATTGTTCTACATGCATTAGATGTGCCAGTGAATTAAACAAGGAACCTGGTCCTTGCAGAGTTGATTGTGTGGAAGTGAGCAAGGGAGCCACACAGAAGACATCATAGAATAAGGAAACAAGCGGTGTACGTGAGAACACGATGGCTGTTAAGCAAAGAAGTGGAGCCGAGTAAGGAGGATTGGGAGTGCCACTCAGCCGGGGCTGCATGTTTCACTTGGGCTGCCAAAGCAGGTCTCACTGAAAAGATGATTGATATTTGAACAGAGACTTGAAAGATGTGAAGAAGTTAGCCTGTGGCTATCTGGGGACCAGCCAGGTCAAGGAACAAGGGGCTAGTAAGGCTGGAGCTGAGCTAGGGAAGAGAATATAGCAGCAGGGCGCATGGCCAGCGTCACAGGAAGGAGGAGTGCAGACGATGAAGAGTTTTGTAGGCTCCTGAAAGGCTCTTGCTCCACAATAAATGGGAAGCTCATGTTGGATTTTGAGTAGATGATGCGAGACGACTTTTGTTTTAAAAGGATCATTTTGGCTACAGTGTTCACGATGTTCTGCAGGAGACAAGGATGGAGGCCGGAGCCTCGTTAGGAGACTGCTGTGGTAATGCAGACAAGAGAGGAAAGAGAGGACAATAGAGTTGGTGAGAAATGTTTAGAGACAGGGTAGATAGAAATGGTCTGAGTTTCCTTAAGGCCTAGATTAAAGGTGGGAGAAAAAGAGAGGAGCCACGAACGACTCCAAGGATTTTGGTCAGAAAAACCACAAAATCAAAATTTCCAGGAACTAAGATAGGAAAGACTATAAGTGGAACAGTTTGAGAGGACCAAGAGGGAAAATTCACTTTAGTTGTGTGGAGTTTGGTGTGTCAGTGGACAAACAGAATGATTGCATATCCAGCTGGGGACTTCTGAGCTAGAGCTATGTCCAAGTGTTGGCAATTACATGATATTTAAAAGCATGAGACTAGATGAGATGGCCAAAAGAGTGAATGAAGTTAGGGATGGAACATTTATTGAAGACCTTCAACATCTAAGAGCTTAAGCTTCATGCAGGCATGATCCCTGCCCTGGGGAGTTTATAGTACACATGGAGATGGGCATGCAATTGGGTGGCTGTCATACATGACAGAATATGATTAGTGATGTAACAGAAGGTCAGAGAAAGTCTTTGCTGTTGTAAAATCACAAGGGAGAAATTGATTCCAAAGATTGCATTTGAAGATTGCATTAGCGTGGGGGAGATGGGTTGGAAGAAGAAAAATGTGGAGAAGTTTGGGAGATTATTCTGGGGGACTAGATTAGAGGTAATGAGGGAGGGAAGTCAGGAGATACATTGCTTGCAGAGTAGGGCCAGGCCAAGTTTCAGATCCAGAAAACTCATGACTTTCCCCAAGAGCCTGTCTCAAGCTGTTTTTTGGTTTTTTATTTTAAGTTTCCGCTTCAGTAGTCTTTTTTTTTTTTTAATCATTTTATTAGGGACTCATACAACTCTTATAACAATCCATACATATATCAATTGTGTAAAGCGCATTTGTACATTCATTGCCCTCGTCATTCTCAAAACATTTCCTCTCCACTTAAGCCCCC